TCTGTTTGTGGGAAGCATGTATAGGCAGAAAAGCACTGGGCCCAAAATGGACCCCTGAGGGACCCCGCAGGAGACAGGAGCAGTGGTCTGTTCTCTATTACACACATATTCAGAAAGCTTAGTCATGCTTAAGATTGTGACTGTGTGGATTTCACCCTCTTCACAGACTGAGCAATGGATCATGTGCTGAACATTGCCGACAAGTACATCTTCTCGCCGTACGTTTACCCGGCCTCGTGGCCCGAGGACTGTGCTCTGCGTCAGATAATCAGTCTGTGGGTGGTGACCAACCTGGGAGCAGAGCTGATTTACCTGGGCTTTGGTGCTCTTAACTTCTACTATGTGTTTGACCATAAGCTCATGAAACATCCATACTTTGTTAAGGTAAGCTGTTTAATGGACCAGGCCCCGCATTCATATATGTAGACCAGTTACGAGTCCAGTGTGCAGCATTTAGGAGGATCTATTGACAGAAATTATAGTGATATTTATAGGTATGTTTTCATTAGTGTATAATCACCTAAAAATACGAATTGTTATATTTTTGTACCTAACCAGTTTTTATCTATAGATGCCACAGATCAGACCAATATCGCCAAAGCAAACTTCTCCCACTGTCTTTTTGATCCAATGACAGAACCAGGTAAAAAGAGAGATTCAACTAGGAACTGCCTCCATCTTCTGGATGAGCTTCCCCACAGTGGCCCTTTTCTTCTGGGAGGTCAGGGGACACAGCAAACTTTATGACAACATCAGCGACTCTTCTCTGGGTGAGACCTTATAACCCAAGGCCAGGGTTCATGTTCACTTCAATCAACTCAAAACTGAAATGAAAGTTATTTGGTTGAGTTCTGGCTAAAAAAGTGAGCTGATAACAGCCGTGATTAAAGTATTTCTCTTGAGCTTACCCACACTAGCCTACTGTGTTTGTGTTTTAGGCTGGCCCGGGGTGTTCCTGAGCATTGCTGGTTTCTTGTTCTTTACAGACATGTGTATCTACTGGATACACCGGTGCATGCACCATAAGAACATTTACAAGGTGAGCTTCAGCATGTTTTATTATATATATTTATATATATATATATTTATAGAAACAATAAACCAAATAATTCTGTAAAATCTAGAGGGGTCAGCCCAGTTTGGTGCCAATCAGGGCTCAACAACTGAACTCCAACTCAATATATGAAATCCATAACTGTACAATTTTATTACATTTATTTGCTAGATGGGTCATTTAGTTTGTTTGAAATGAATAAAAGTTACAGAATAGACTTTTCCATCATACCTTCTGATCGATCTTTGTGTATCTTGTATCTTGTTTTCCTGGTGTGTTTCTCACTGTCCCAATATTCAGACCATTTGTGTTTCTCCCCCTCAGCACTTACATAAGCAGCACCATATATTCAAAGTCCCTACGCCTTTTGCCAGCCATGCCTTTCACCCACTCGACGGCTTCCTGCAGAGCTTACCCTATCACGTCTACCCTTTCATCTTCCCCCTCCACAAGGTGTTGGTCTACTTGTAACTCTTTACTGAAACACTTGTATGTCAGTAGCCGTATTGCAAAAGCTTCACTGCATATTTCAAAATGCTGCTGATGTTAAAACTTTAAGCAATTAATTCCAAAAAGTACAATCACATTTGATATTTACATTACAGGTGGTCTACCTGTCACTCTTCGTCTTTGTGAACATCTGGACCATTTCCATACACGATGGAGACTACCGCATCCCCGGCCCCCTGATTTGTCTGATCAACGGTGCTGCTCACCACGTAGACCATCACCTCTACTTCAACTACAACTACGGACAATACTTCACACTCTGGGATCGTCTGGGGGGCTCCTACCGATACCCTTCAGCCCTGCTGCGGAAGGGGCCGCATGACCACATTCGTAAGCTCATGGCAGAGGCTGCAGAGACGAAGTGATGCTGGAGATGATCAGCCTGGGTAACGATGCAAGAAACAAATGCAATTACATGCAAAGATCTGCCAAGGGACAATGGATTGTTTTGCCAAACCGAGTTGCAAATGGTAAATACATTGGAGGGAATCTTATTTTCCTTAAATATTTATGGATACGATGGTTAAATGGACTGCCTGGAGATAACTAAGCTGGAAATAAAACTGTACCACAGTGAATAAAAACCAGCTACACTGAGGTCTAAGTCAGTGGTTTCCCTTTTATATTGCAATATTTATTGTAATAAACATTTCATTTTATCTTAAAACTGTTCAATGAACCCAAATAGTGAACAGTTTGTGTAAAACAAGTGATTTGGATCAATTTTGAGCAGATAATTTCCTGTTCCGGGAACTTTTTTATGCAATTCTGCCTGTATTATTTATTTTTTGACATCTTTAACAATCATACAGACTTAATAGGCTTCTTTTTTTGACAAATTCAATGTTTTATTCTCATTGTTTGATTAGACAATTTGCTTTACATTTACAAATGGTGAGATATAAACCTACTGTGTATATATTTAACGTTTTCTCACATGCCTTGAAATCAAGGACTTGCGACTCCCCATGAAGCTTTGGAGTCTAAGTGATCCATATATAGGGAAAATACAGGTGTTTATATCAATGAGGGTAGGGTATTTTAAGAAACACCTCTCAGTATAACACAGTGCAACAGTGCCACAAACGACAGCTGATGAATGATGATAAATGAATATTTACTGAAAAAGAAGTAGAATTTATTACAGGTTGTTGATTAGACTGCAGTAGTTTTGGTTAACGAATAAAGTTGCTACCGAGTGCATATAGTTACTCTTAGATGAAGATAAATCTTCTTTGGTAAAATAAAAATAAATACATTTTATGTGCATGAGTGAATTAAGGTCTTAACCAATATGTTGTATTGCAGAAACTGACTAGAAACTAGAACTGACATATATCAAGTGTTAGTGGATAGAGACAGGACAACTGGACGTGACTCCAAATTATGTTTTTACACAGTATTTTATTTCTATAAAACTACAACATAAACCCAATAACAACGGCAAAATACATTTTCGTATCATTTCTGTTTAGCTGGAACACATCGGACATCCTTCCAAAGACACAATAAAATGTGAAAAGACGATGAATGACGTGTGTTTGAATCCGGCGTCCGTGTGCATGTGTGTTTTTGTCTTGTCGTCTGAGTCCAGATTAGTCTTTCAGCTTCCAGTGTTTGGCGTGTTTTCGTGCAGGCTCTGCAGGGCGAGGTCCGTCCACTTCATCTCTTGTTCTTTCACCGACTCTGTGGATCCGCCGTTGTCCTGCTCGGCCTCGGGTAGTTCACTCTGGAGGGAGAAGGGGAGAAAAGATGCCCTTCACTCTACTTTATATACTTTATATCAACAGTATGACGGCATCAAGACAAAAACTTACTTATTTCTCCCTGCCAACAGTAATTAGTTACACTACTAGTTACATTACTTCTCCTTTTTGTGTCTTTTCTACCCAAAATCCTGTTTCTGTTGGTAAAATCAAAGTAATGTGAATATTTCCAGCCGCTTAACGTAAGCCTTTGGGGGGATAACTGCAATATTATTAGTGAAATCTATTAGTAATTAGTTACACTACTAACTAGTGACCTGGGAAAGTAGCTTTTAGTAATAAACAGCTCTAAAAGCTGGCATGAACCTGTGTTTACCAGAGGGATGGTGACATCTTCATACGGCAGTCTGTCCTCCCTCCAGGCATCATCAGTGAGGTCCAGGACTCTCCCATCTCTCTGGATTTCACTGTCCATGCTCTCAGCAGGACCCTCGACCAAGACCAAGACCTGATCCTCCAGCAGGCTGCAGCACTAAAGCAAACACAGGAGATGGAGACAGACACTGCACACATACACCAGCCGGTTCAACGTTGGCAGCCTGTACGAGCAGTCACACCCGGGCTGATCGGTCTGTGATCGATACGCTGTGAGTATCGATCTGACATGAAACAGGTTTCAGGTGTTTTTCCTTTTTTGGAGCTGTTTGAGCGCGGTGGATTTTACGTAAAACGTCTGACGCGTGGTGATGATGTAAGCGGTGATGCCTTCACGTCCTATGGGAAAGTACTGTATTCGATAAATCTGTGTTGAACATATTCGGTCCCAGTAAATCACCACTACTATTACTACTACTACTATTGCTGCGACCAATAATGATAATACTATATGATAAATGTACAATGAGCTCCGCAAAAGGGGGCTGCTGCTTTGTTTAACGGTTTCCATGGTAACCGCCAGTCTCCTCCTGGTTTTGGCCTACTGCATTTGAAGGTAGCGTCAACAACAGCGTTTCATTCATAAAGTAAATAAAGTATTCAGTCGGCGGGGACAGTGGATTTGGAGATATAACACAAGGTAAACGCTGATGTTACTTTACCAGTTTAGAAAGGCGAATGTTACCTTAACTAGCGTCGTTAAGTGATGTTACTTTTGCACCTAAAAGAGGTCAGGGTATTATCAAACGTTAGAGAGAAATCTTGTAACGCTGTATAATGAGGATATAAATCATATAACGACACTTGTGCTTAACTAATGCCTGACTTATGTTCATTTAATGCGTGTTCATTCACAGTTACTTCATACATTAAGTGATATGCGACCAATTAGATGGATTCGTCTTATAAAAGTTATTATTTTATTGTTTTTATCAGAGAGGCTGAGCAAATGCATGAATATACTTTTATGTAACTACAATCCTGAATTAACATCTATTAAGATGAACTAATCACAAAAAGTCATATTGACTTGGTTGTTTGTTAGTGGTAAGCAACAGGAATGAATGATACATCCTGCATTCATTAGTTTAAGTGATTTGTAGTTAACTTATAGTGTTTCCTGTAAATACTTAAGTAGAAAAATCTACTTGAAGTTTGCATTGCGATATGATATGAAACTTCAAAACATCCAAATATGTTTTTAGAATCAAAAATATAGCTGCTCTCCAACCTTGGAAAGCTCACTCTGTTCTTTCCTCTCCTTTTTTAAATAGACTTTAATTAGATTAGACATGAAAATATTACAAAATAGTTTAACAAGTGTCAAAATGCATAAGAAAACATTTATAAAGTGCTCATAAGTCCAAAGGAGTCTATAAAGTCCTATTCACAAGTCCAGAATGTTCCATGTGAGGAGTCTTATCCAGGCTTTTCCTCCTCTGGAGCTCAGTAATCTGACTGCTGTACACCTATAATGACCTAAATCACAAAGATGAAGTCATTTTGTACTAAATATTACATTTTCTTTCCATAGGCCCTGCAGAGATGTCAGCGTCTCAAGAACAGCAAGTAGAAAAAACATGCGCCAACCCTGGAAACCCAGTTTTCTCCTGCACGATGACCCCAGAAGTTAAAGCACCACCAGAGCTGGGGACTCTCCCGAATCTGTTTTACAAGACCACTTCCAGTGCCTACGGTCTCCACTCTCCAACCTTTGAGAGCTCGCCGTGTACTTTCCACCCTAAATCACAAAGATTCTCCGAAGAACTGGCCAAGACTGGGATGTATCGTGAAAGCACCTTGAATACGGCCCTAGACCAAAGCAGGGTATGACTGTCCTAATGTACAGCACACCATCTAAATGCATGGTTGACCTAATGTTAGGATGTACAGTGGTGTGAAAAAGTGGAAATGTATGTATATTTCTAATTTTATTTTAAGTCTAGAATAGACCAGTAAGTAAAAGTGCAACGTTTAGAAAAACAATACCTATGCAATGTATGTGCAACCTTCCTCTTTAATAATGAGACCCTTTTATTACATCATTAGTAGGTTTAGAGGTCAGAGACTGTGAGGTTATTCCTTGTTTAAGCTTAAAGAGAAATAAAAACGAAATAAAGAAGATAATATTAGTGAATTCAGTGTTTGAGATAAGATAAGATAAAAAATTAACCTTTTACAGCAGCTCCAGATAGAACATAGCAGATAAGAAAAAATAGAAATACAGATTAAATAACAAAATAAAATAGAGAAATATAAGATATAGAGGAAAAAAAATAGAATTAGGGTTGTATGTACACTATATACAGTTTTTTAAATACAAATGTGATGTAAATTAAAACAGAATATTGCACAGGTTACAGCAGGAGGTAGTGGCATGGTGTAAAAAACAGATAATTGCACCAGACAAAGAAAAATATATACAGCAGCAGTTTATCCCTCCACTGTAGAGAAAGAACAAAAACAGATGTTATTTTGTTCTGGTCTGTCACATTTGTTTCTGCATATTGCGGATGCTTTCCTTTACCCTGTTCTGTCTTGTAAATAACATTAAATGTACCGTCACATGTGTGATTTCGACTTCAGGTGCCCAAATTCTGAGACCTCAGACCTTCCCAGAGATGTCGAACCATACAGTACTTACTTTAATGGACCGCAGTCTTGAACGTGGACCTGGATCCTGCCGCGTGGAGTCACCCAGCTCACCTTCATTTCTCTCCGCTGTGTCCTTATTCCCAGACCTAAATACATTAATGGTGATAAATGTGAGCTTTTTGAGGAGCAATTAACTGATTCTCAAAGCATTTCTTATCATCAGTACACTGTAAATTGTTGATTTCATTTATTTTTTTGTAATTAATCTGACTCAGAAATAAAGCTGGGGTATTAACAAAAGCTTGTTTGTACTGGAAATGTCTCAATCGTTGTCCTAATTAGCATTTTTAAATCAGTATATGAAGGATTTTTGAGTTGCAGATGCCAGTAAATTAGGGATTCTTGGAATCATTTATTTGTTGACCACTTAAGTTTACCTGTGCAGGTAAGTGTGTTGTTTTTACTCGTCAACAGTAGAGTGCACTGTACTATTATTGTTATTTGTATATATACACATACAAAATCACACACAAATGCAACAATATGATGCAAACACAACTCTTTAATTTATGAAATGTATTTATTTTGTTTCATTGATGCTCAGTGTTTTGGCAATATTGTTGTTTTGATGCCAATAAAAGCAAATTTTAACTGAATTGAGAACAGATGACGTATAACAGTGTGTGTACAATTGTAGGCTATTTGTCTAAAATAAATAAATAAATAAATAAATCCTAGAACTCCTAAAGAAGAAAAGACTGAAGCCAAGTCACTGTGACTTGCTTGCCACCTGTTTAAAGGGGTTAGTTACACCCAATGGCTCTTTCTCTACATCCGCCCCTGGATCTTATGACTTCTGGTGATTGCGTTCAAGAACCGTGGGAAAGTTTAGTTTTCAGGGCATCTGGTCTCCTTTCATGCATTCATGTGCTTAAACCTCATTTCTGTTTTTGTGTCCGTGTTGGCACTGACACACTAATCTTTAATAACACTTGTTGCTTTTATTGTCACTTCTCACCCATCTTTTTTTTGTTTTTCTTCCTGTCATATACACAACGGTTTCCAAAACATCCTCATACCACGGAGTATTAGGGCCAGACTAAGAGAAAAAAATATTTATTTTTTGGGGGAAATTACGAGAATTAAGTCGTAATGTTGCGAGAATAATGTCGTAATGTTACGAGAATAAAGTCGTAATGTTACAAGAATAATGTAATAATAATACAAAAGAAAAAGTCGTTTTAATGAGAAAAAAGCTTTGATAGAGTTATCAAGATCTGATGTGAGCAGCTCAACCAATCAGCAGCCTGAACCTGAACCCAGCAGCTGTTTGTTTCAGTCAGTCAACAGGTAAACTAACAACAGGTAAACTAACAACAGGTAAACTAACAACAGTAAACTAACAACAGGTA